AATTTAATCCAAAAAATAAAAAAAAAAACATAACAAGTTCAGAATGGTTTTATCTTACTGCTTATGTGAAAACTAATTTAAAACAGATTTAGATATAAATTATTTGAGGTTATTAAAATTGACAAATGACTTACCTCTTCTTTCCCTAATGTTATCAGAACATCTTCAGTCAGAGGAGTTACTAAAAAAACAAAACATAACAAAATTATACATACTTAGTTAATTCACAGTAATTTAATTTTATAGTTTTCTAAGGTAATCCTTTCCATCTCCATTTATATATTACAGAACTTCTGTTGAAACATATATTCTTTTAAGATTTTTCTCTTTCCAGTTGTGGGGATTGAACCCAGGACCTTGGCAATGAGATACATTCCTAGGCATTTTTACTTTTCATTTTGAGATAGGATCTTCTATCTCCATGCTCAGCTCAAACTTGCAATCCTCCTATCTCAGCATCCCAGAGTGCTGGCATTACAAGCAATTTTATTTAATTTCTTTGTACATATAATCAACTTTATATATTTTTAAATAAATTTTACCATATTTGTGTATTTTGTTTTTAGAGTATTTTTGCTTTTCAAGCCCTAAAAACCAACCTTAATAATCTAGTGTTCCTTAAATATTTTTCTCTATACTCACATGATCCTATGCATACACATATACATAGTATACATAAGCAATGATAGATATACATAAGGTATAACATTTTTATCATTGCTGGTTTTAGAAGAGTCCATCATACATTATCCCTATCATGTTTTCATGCAATAAAGCTACCATGGAAACCCCATCTATTCGTCTTGTATAGGTCTAATTCATCATCTTAATAAATGCATAACATTTCACAGTGAGAACATATTATGTTGATTGTCCTACTTACTAAACATTAACTTTGCACTTAGTTTTTAGCTACAAGAAACAAGAACTCTGTATATGTACAGTAAATCAAATGTATTGATTTGTTCATTTCTATTTAACATATTCCCAGAAACAGAATGCCACAGAAAGAAGTATGTATTTTGAATTTTAGAACAGAATGCCAGATTCCTTTCCCAAAACATATCTATGGACAATGAATTAAAAACAGCAAAAGATATAAATTTTTTATAGGTTTTACCGGTCAATTGAGTAGAAATAAACATTGACCTTTGTATAGAAAAATAAATGTTTAATCCTTACACAAGAAGTTTACTTTCATAATCAAGTGCTATTTGAAATTTCTCAAATAATATGCTGCTAAAAGATTTCAAAAGTATCTGCTATCTGAGAGCCTTCTAACAAGAAAAGACTTTTCTATATGTGCTTCATAGGCCTATGTTAGAATTGGTTGTAGGGAGCCCTAGGATGGCTACTGCTATGAAATGAATAAGTATCATCCAAAGGTCCATGCGTTAAAAGATTGTTTGCCAGCCTGCAACACTATTGGGAGATGGTGGGAATTTTTAGGAAGTTGGGCCTAGTGGAAGAAGGCAGGTCACTGGGTACATGCCCTTGAAGATCATATTAGGACTCCAGTCCCTTCCTGCCTTCCTCTTTGCCTCCTGACTACCATAAAGAAAGCAGTTTCCCCTCAACATCTGGTCCTACCATGACATTAGCCTTGCCCCAGGCCCAAAAGTAATGGGGCCAACAGAGCACTGACTGACTCCTAAAACTGTGAGCTAAAACAGACCTTTCCTTTTTATAAGTTGTTTATCACAGGTATTTTGTCACAGTGACAGAAAACATGCAGCTACTAAATCATTTCAACAAATGCAATTGAAAAAAACTTTTAAAATGTAACATTTTGAAAAAAATCTCCCTTTTTGCCAGTATGGCTAAGAGTAGCATTTCAACATTCATTCAAACAACTATTTCAACAAACACAATAAAACAGATATTAAGAATATAAAAATTTTTTAAAGCCCTTCCAACATGGCAGCCAGGTTAGCGTCAGGCCAACAAAGTAGCCTATTCATTCATTGGTAGCTGTTAAGGGATGACGAGAACAAGAAAAATAATACTTAAAATTTCTGATATACAGCATCAAAAAGGTTAGAATACTTAAGAATAAATAAATCTACTCAAATGTGGTGTCACACACCTATAATCTCAACATTATGGAAGGCTGAGGCAGGAGAATACAAGACCCACCTGTGCAACTTAGCAAGACCCTGTCTCTAATACATATTTTAAAAAGGGGCTGGGGATGCAGTTTAGTGGTATTATGACCCCAGGTTTGATCTTCAGTACCTAAATAAATAAATAAAGTTAACATAAGAGGTAAATGACGTGTATGCTGAAAATTACAAAATGTTACTGAAAGAAATTAAAGACAAATAAATGAAAAGGCATTCCACGTTCATGACTAGAAGATTAACTTAAGATTCCACAATAATCAAAAAGATACAAAGATTCAATGCAATCTCCAACAAAATATCATGATTTTTTTTTCACAGAAATAGAAAAATCCATCCTAAAATTTATACAGTATCTCAAGGGATCCCAAACACCCAAAACAGTCATGAAAAAGAACAATGTGAAAGGCCCAACACCTTCAAATTTCAAATTTACTACACAAAGTTACAGTTAACAAAACACATTAGTACCAGAATGCAAATAAGAACTATAGATTAAAGGAATAGAATGATGAATCTATTCTCATAGAAATGTCCAAACAATTTTTGACAAGAGTGCTAAGAAAATTCAATAAGGAACAGATGGTGTTCTCAACAAAAGGTATTTGGGAAAATTGGATATATACATGGAAAGGTATTAAGTTGAATCCTTTCCTTAAGATTATGCCAAAAAAATTAACTCAAAATTGAACAAAGACCAAAATGCATCAAGCTAAATCTATGAAATTCTCAGAAAAAAACATGAAGTTTTATGACACTGGATTTAGCAATAATTTCTTGGATAGTTACCAAAACCATAGGCAATCAAAAATAAATTGGACTCTATCAAAATTTAAAACTGTTGAGCATCTAAAGGCACAATCAACAGAGTAAAAAGGCATCCTACAGAATGAAATATTTATAAATCAGGTATCTTACAAAGGGTTACTATCCAGAATATTTAAAGAACTCATACAAATTAATAAAGAGAAGGGAAAACATGAATAAACATTTCTTCAAAGAAAATACACAACTGGCCACCAATAAATAAAGATGTTCAAAATTATTTAGCATTACAGAAATGAAAATCAAAACCACAAGATATGACCAATTACAATAATTTCTTAATCTGTGTGCTATAACAAAATACCTTAGACTTAGTAATTTATAAGTAACAGAAATTCATAGTCAGATGTAGTAGCACATGCCTGTAAACCCAGCACACTGGGAGGCTGAGGCAGGAGGACTGCAAGTTCAACCTTACCCTGGGCAACTCAGCAACTCGGCAAGACCCAGTCTCAAAATAAAAACTTTAAAAAAGTTTAGGGATGTGATTTACTGCAAAGGCCCTGAGTTCAATCCCCAGTACCACCATCAATATTAATAATAATAATAATAATAATAATAATAATAAATCTAGAAATTCATAACTTAGTTCTGGAGTCTAGAAAGTCTGAGAATAAGGCACCAGCATGTCTGACAAGGGCTTGTTTTCTGTCTCCAAGATGTCACATCCTTGCTGTGACCTCACATGGCACAAGATAGAAAGGAAAAAGGGAGTAAAATGCTCACATCAACCTATTTTATAAAGTCATTAATCACCTCGTAATGCCCCTCCTCTTAATACTATCTCATTAATGATTAGTTTTAACAAATAAGCTTGAGGGACACATTTAGAAAATATGGATGGCTATTGCCAAAAACCAGAAAATAACAAATATCAGCAAGGATGTAGACAAATTAAAAAATTATGCACTGTTGGTAGGATTGTAATATGGTACAACCACACCACCATGCAAAACTATGGTAGTTCCTCAAAAAATTGAAAATAGGCAAGGACCCGAGTTCGATCCCTGGTACCAAAAAAAAAAACAAAAAAATGAAAATAGCCAAGTGTCATGGCACATGCCTATAATCCCAGCTACTTGGGAGCCTGATGAAGGAAGATCACAAGTTTGAAGCCAGCTTAAGCAACTTATTGGCATCATGCTCAAAAGAGCTAGGGATGTAGCTCAGTAGTAAGACCATTTGCCTGTATGCACAAAGCCCTGGATTCAATTCCTAGTACTCCCCCAACACAAAAAAATTAAATAGACTATATCACGACCTACCAAGTTCACTTCTGAGTATCAATCTAAATGAATTCCATGGACATGGAAAAGATATTGGTACACATATATTCACATCAGCATCATTCACAATAACCAAGAGGTGAAAGCAACAAAGTATCCACTGATACTTAATAAAATGCAACATATACATATAATAGAATACTATTCATCCTTAAAAATGAAGGAAATTCTGATACTTGATATAATTTGGATGAAACATTTTAGGACATTAATGCTAAGTGAAATAAGCCAGTCACAAAAAACGCAAATACTCTATTCCACTTATATGAGGCATGTAAAGTAGTTAAGCTCATAGAAACAAAGTAGAATGGTGATCGCCAGAGGCTGCAAGGAGCAGAAAAAGGAGGTGTGGTTAATTGGTATAGATTTCAGATTTGCAAGATAAAAGCATTCTAAAGGTTGGTGGTACCAAAAATTGAATTTACTTAACACTACTAAACTACACACTTAAAAATGATTATGAGAATAAATTTTATGTATATCCTGGCACAATTAAAAATTTTAAAAATAACTGAACAGAACTTCAGAGATGTCCATCTCTATAACAAATGATACTACTAAAATTTCAGGAGAGAAAAAAAGTAATGGAGGAAGCTGAAAAAAAAAATGTGTACAAATAATAACTGAAGATTTCTCAAATTTTGCCAAAGGCATAAATTCACATACTCAAGAATCTGAGTGAATTTCAGACAGAATATATCCAAAGAAATCCACGCCAAGATATATTATAATTTATGTTCTAAAAATTGAAGAGAAAAAAAATCTTGAAAGCAGCCAGAAAAAACAATACTTTTCCTATGAGGGGAAAACCAGTAGGACAGTATATCTTTCATTACTAACCAAAGAGGCAGAAAAAAGTATATTTTTCAAGTGCTAAAGAAGATAATGCTGAATTGTATATTCAGTGAAACTATCCTTTAGGGAATGAAAATGAAATCAAAACATTATCAGTGACAGAAATATTGAGAGAATTTGTCAGTAGTAGACCAAACATAAAAAGAATGGCTGAAGGAAGTTCTTACAGAAACAATAAAAGAAGGAACTTCAGAATGTCAGGAAGGAAGAACAAACAAGAACAAAAATATGGTCCAAAGCAACCATGACTCTAACAATCACAAGGAAATACTGGTAACAACTTGACGGAATCTGGGAAGTAGATTCAAACTTCTCAGTAAAGTCTTCAATTAGAATCTACTATTGTAACCTTGAGATCATTAAAGAGAGGCCCCAGCTATGCTGTGTCCAGTTGCCTGACACACATAATCTATAAGATTATGTAAATACCAACTTATAGCAACCATGAGATAATCAATCTATGTTCTTTTAAGTCATCCTAAAAAAAAGTCCAAAACAAGATTAGAAATTTTTGATGTGGAAGCTGGTCTTTAAGGATACTGAGGTTCATTATATTACCCTCTTATCTCTAAGACTGACAATTGTTACAATAAAAAAAAAACTTGTGGACAAGAGATAAGAAGTCCTATTACAATACAGCACACTGGAGATGAAGGAATGAAGTAAACCTGAGGGTTCATTATTTAGCACTATTCAAAAAATTCGAAAAAGGAAGATTCTAGGATAACTTAAATTTATAGTTGATCAAACAAATACTATTCAATGGGTAGGGAACAAATATCAGTTAATGAATCTATGGCATCTGTAGAATATTTTGGAAAAAAATGTCTAGAAGAGACAAAGATATCTGAGTCTGATGTTGCAGAGAAGTCTGATTTGAATGAATGTATAGATTTGGAAGTTCTTATGGGCTGAATTGTGTGTTCTCTAAACCCAAATTCATATGTTAAAAGCCTAACCACCAGTACCTTAGAATATGATTGTATTTGGAATTAGGTAAAGAAGTAATTAACAAGGCATGGTAGTAAAGGCCAGTAATCTCAGCACTCTGGGAGGCTGAGGCAAGAGGATCCTACTTTTAAGCCCAGCAAGAGTAATTTAGGAAGACAATGTCTAAAAAAAAAAAAAACAAACCCAAAAAAGGCAGCTGCAGATGTAACTCAGTACAAAGGCCATAGGTTCAACCTCCAATACCACAAAAAGACAATGAATAAAGAGGTAATTATGTTAAAATGAGGACACTAGGCTGGGCCACATTTTGGAAGAAGATGTTAAGAAACAGAGGCACAGAGGAAAGACAATAAGAAGACACAGGAGGAAGATGGCTCCTATGATTTAGATGAGTGTCCCCCAAACACTCCCCATGTGTTTAAAGGTTAGTCTCCAATATGCCATTACTATGAGGTCCTGGGGCTCTTTAGGAAGTGGGTTCTTGTGACAGATCCTTAGGTGAGTGGGAGTATGCCAAATGACCCCAATGAAGGGAACTATCTCTTCTGTTTTCTCTGTGGCTCATAATATGAGTAGTTTGCTGCACCACATATTCCCCAGCATTACCATCCAGTAACCCTACCAGAGGCAAAAGAATAGGTCCACCCAATCTTAGACTGGAACTTCTACAACCATCAGATTAAAAAGCTTTTTTGTTATAATTATCTCAGGTAATGTAATGGCCATCTACGATCCAAGAAGTGTCCACAGGAGAAATCAATCTTAGCCAGGTATAGTTGTGCATGCCTGTAATTTTAGCTACTCAGAGGGCTGAGGAGGAAAGATTGCAAGTTTGAGGCCAGCCTGGGCAACTAGATGAGATATTATCTCAAAATAAAATAAAAAAGGTTTGGGCCAGTGGTTCCGGTGCCTGCCTTGCAAGCGCAAGGTCCCAAGTTCAATCCCTGGTACCTGAAAAATAAAATAAAATTAAAAAGGGCTGAGGATTTACTTCAGTGATGAGTATCTGCCTAGCATGCACAAGACTAGATTCGACCCCCAGTTCCAAAAATAGTTTAAGAAACAAAAAAAGAAAAGAAAGAAACTTGTTGACATCTTGATCTTAAACATCTCCTGAATTGTGAGAAAATGTCTGTTGTTTAAGCCATACAGTTAATGGTACTTTAAGCCCTAGTAAACTGATACAGAAGTCATTATTAAAGATATAAGACCCAAAAGCAGAAGCAGAAAATATAGTGCTGTGTAGCATATAGGATAGGAAGTGAATAAAGCTTAGCACAGTCCTCAGAAGAACACAAACATTTTAACAGCTGAAGATGTGCAAACTTTGAGATTCTCAAGTATACTGCTGAGAAGGCAATAAGATATATAGTTTAAGACAATTTTTTTTAAAGTCACAATTGCATACGACTATATACAGTCCACCAAAAAGAATGTATACTCACCTATATACAGAAAAACCTATATAAGGTGTACAGTCACCTGATTCAACACCTACGGCTTTTATCTGTGGGGGACCCTAATAGATGTATATTGCAGAAAACCCATTACACTGTCAGCCCTTAGAGAAGAAATTAAAACTGCACATGCAGCAATCTCAATGGACACTTTGACCCAGGTTACCCAAGCAGCAATTCACCATACTAATAAATGTCTGGAAGCTAATGGCCACCACTTTGAGCACCTCTTGTTAATTGTAGAGGCCAAAAATAACTTGTATTAATCTCATATCTCAATAAATTTAGTATTAAAATATTTATACAAGTTTTTCTTTTACTAAAGCATGTATACATTTTTTGAGGGGTGGACTCTGCATCTATCAGAAAAGTTTAAAGACAAACAGGTAGTAATTAAGATATGGAGCAATGATGAATATTAGCATGAACAGAGTAATTAAAGAACGTGGATGATGGCAGGCATGGTGGCACATGCCTGTAATTCTAGCTCTCGAAAGGCTAATGCAGGAAGATCACCACAAGTTCAAGGCCAGCCTGGACTACACAGTGAGTTCAAGGCCACCCTGAAATATAAAGCAAGACCCTGTCTCAAAAAAAAGCAAAAAAACCCTCACAAATAAAGAATGTAGATGAAACTGTCTAAGAATAAAATGAGAAAAAAAAGATATCTTAGGACTACTTTTTGGGAAATGCCAATAATTTCAGTACAGAATCCTACAAAGGAGCCTAAGGATGGAAGTGCAGGAAATTACAAGGAAGCAGAGGGAAAGAAGAAAGACATATGGAAAAAAAGATAGTGTAATCCTATATGAAAACCAGATACAAATATATGTGAGAATCTTAGACTTTCATAATTTAAAAAAAAATTGCTGGGCATGGTGGCACACACCTGTAATCCCAGCACTGAAGAGGCTGAGGCAGGAGGACTGCCATGAGTTTGAGGTCAGCCTAGGCTACATAGTGAGTTCAAGGCCATTCTGAACTACATAGCGAGACCCTGTCTCAAAAAACAATAAATAAACTAACAAACAACTTAGGTATTACAACTTTAAATTTTAAAGCCATTTTCTCTTTCTCAACTAAAAGCAAAAAATATATCTGGCTCCAGCTGGACAAGTCAAGAGATAATATAAAAATTATACAGCCCCTATGTAAATAAGCATCTAAAATAAAATAACTTTTCCATTAGGAAAGTTACACTCATAAACAATTTAGTTTCTACTGAATAAAAGGCAATGACTATGAACATAAAATGATAACTAATAAGTATCTATAATAAAGATTATTATAATTTAGGTAAGACAGATGTGTTCATTTAGAATAATAACAAAATAACATGTTAAAAAAAAGAAAAATAGAATGTCTTCCTAGTATCCATGGAATTAAGGTAATTTCAAGAAGGTCAAATGGATCTTGTAATTCTTCTTGTGATAATTAAATTAATTTGCCAATAATTTATTCATCAAAATAGAGCCCCCAAATAAGAATCTTACTTTCAGGTGTTTCTTTGTGCCATTGACTGAGTTCAGCTGTCAAACACTTCACTTGCATAATTAATAACGATAGCTACAAAAAAAGAGAGAGAGAGATTCAAAGACTTTTGTTGACAATTATTTACTGCTATTCACAGATGAAAATGCAGATCACCTTCATTCTTTTATAATAGTCCCTAACACAAATGGCTAACAAGACAGGGCATGGTAGTGTATGCCCGGAGTGCTATAGCAGGAGGATTACAAGTTCAAGCACAGCCTGGGCAGCTTAGCAACTTAGTGAGAACCTGTCTCAAAACAGAAAATAAAAAGCTTGGAGGATGTGGCTCAGTGCAAAGGTCTTGGGTTCAATCTCCAGAACTGTCAAAAAAAAGCTACCAAAATAGCACCACTAAACTATAAAAAGTTAACACTATGAGCAGAATTCTGTTTTAAGCTGTGCTAATTGTAACTCATAAATTGTTTTACACTAGTAATACAAAATAAGGAGGATAAATTCTGCTTCACCAAACTAAAAGAAGCTAAGTACATTATTTCACAAATATATCATAAAAAACAAGATCTTATTGCTTGCCGACATTTTTAGGTAAACTAGTTTTAAATAAATGTCCTTTCAGAAAAACTGTAAATGTTTTGAGTAGCTAAAAACAAAACTAAAAACACATATGGACAATTAATGATAAAATGACTAGTTCCACAAGTCACACATAAAAACCAGTTTGACTACACAACTTTATAGTTTGTCATCTGTATATCCCTTAGCCAAAAATAAACTAGGGTGAGTGTGTTTTTGGTAAAAGATGAAGCAAATCATACCAATTTTGATAATTATAAATTATGTGAAAATCCATTGACTGATTTGACTGTAGATTGAAGTCTGTGTATGCTTTAAAGTAAATTTCAGAGACCCTTTAATCTACTTATACTCTTATTGGTATCCAAACAGATTATAAAATTCACATTTCAAAAATGCAGTTTTACTGTAGTATAAATATTACAAAGGCACAAAGTACTATCTTTTGTAACCCACAGTAGCTCAAAAGCCATGCTCTGTATCATAAAATTACATATTAAAATATATCAGAGAAAGAACAAAACTAAACAAAAACTAGTCTCTTTGAAAGTGTCATATAATTATATAAAAACGTATTTACAGATATCTAAAATCTTTACTAAAAAAGAATTGAACATTTTTTTCCAGATAAACAACAATGTGAAAAAGCTTTGTAAATTATAAAGTGATTTATAAATGTTACTATGAAGAAAGTGATTTATAAATGTTACTATGAAGAAATAACAAATTTTTAAAAAGTGGTATTTAAATTAGGTAAAACTATCAAGGTAAGAAATCCATATCATTTTTGCTCATATTAGGTTAAAACATGTGAAATTCCTGATATTTTTAACCCATAAAAAAAGAGTAATCTCATAGTTTAACCTCACGAAGCACAGATCTTAACTTGCCAAAGCCCAGCAAGAGAAATATCCAAATTACTTTTCATCTTCCTATAAAATTAAGAGAATCAAGAAAAGGAAGGAGGAGGAAGGAAGAGTGGAAGGATATGGAAGGGGGGAATTAAGATGTGTTGTGTACATCTACCAACTCTCCACAAGGTATGTAATCATTATGTACTGTGAACATTAGTAATAAAAAAATAAAAATAGATAAAAAATAAACCATGGAAGCCAAAAAAAATTTAAATAATCCTTTCTAAAAATAACAATAACAGGGGCCAGGGATTTAGCTCAGTGGTTTTGCCGCCTGCCTTGTAAGCGCAAGGTCCCGAGTTCAATCCCCGGTACAAAAAAAATAAAAAAAGATAAAAATAACAATAACAAGCTGGGCATGGTGGTGCATGCCTGTAATCCCAGTACTTGGGAGGCTGAGGCAGGAGGACTGCCACAAATTCTATGTCAGCCTGGGCTCCACAGTGAGTTCAAAGCAAGCTTGGACATTATAGCAAGACCTTGTCTCAAAAAACAAAACCAAACAAGAAACAATAGTATTTCTAAAGTAACTTGAGTACAAATATTTGAAAAATCTTGTCTTAGTTAAAATATTTAACTTTTATTTTAGAAAACAGATTGAGTCAGAAAGAGAAAGGTATACAGAGAAAGGTTAACAAAACAGGCCTGAACCTCCTACTTTAAAAAAGGCCTTTTTACAAGACAGGCAGGTATCTACGAGCTTGAAGGATTTAAAGATGGTTCCCACCAACCAGAGTGGCTCATATGCTTAAACTGTGTGTGCAAAGAATACATCTGCTTTCCATCTGATAGTCTAATATTTTAGTACCGGTTATGTAGAAGATGACTATGTGACCAGCTCACATAGAAAACTTTGGGTACTGAGTCTCTAATGAGGTTCCTTGCTAGACAACATTTCACACACATCACAACTCAATGGAAGAACTACAGGAGATCCTTTGTGACCCTATTGGGAGAGAACTATAAGTTTGTGCCTAGTTTCCTGTGGACTTTTGAACTGTATCATTTATCAACTATATTTCTCTATTATCCTACAAATGTATCCCTTATTCCAAATGTTGCTTCTTTCCATTCTCAAAAAGCAATCTTGGGAAAATTCTAATCTAACCATGTCATTCTCCATGTACTTTTGCCCTTTATCAATTTTACACTGTTTCCTTTTTCTGTAACAGATCTTAGTCACTGTAATAGAGGACAGTATATATTAAGTCCTAGGAGTCCTAAAAGAATCACCCAACTTGTAAGTGGTCAGTCTTCACAGCTCATAACACAACAGGAAAACAGATACTGTGAATTCTTTGAATATTACTATTATGGACTCTCAGGACCCTTCACTTTTACATACATAAGCACTCCCCTCAAAGCCAGTGTTTAGCTCACTATATGAAAATCATTCGGTAAATCTGTAGGCCTAATCCCTAATGATTTTAATTTCGTAGGTCTTAATTTCTACAATGGAGGAATCACATTCCTCAAGAAAAATGGTCATTTACTTATCATATAGTGTTTTTACAAATGCAATACTCAGGACAGCTGTGTATTTATTTATAGATTAATTCATTATCACTAATTTTTAGATATATTAGAATAAACAATTCCAAAATTGAAAATTAGATTTTACCTTTACCTGTCTTCTGTATTTTTGAGTAGAATTATAATCATAGACTTTAATTTTTCATATTGTTATAACTAATTAAGTTATTATTTGTTATGATACTGAATTTGGAAAGCAGGATCACATTCAAATTAGTTCTTTTGCCTTCTGATATTCCTCCATGAGTTTTTAGGAACATTAACTGGAATCATCTGTCCTTAAATTTTATCACTAAATGTTTTCAACTTTTGGGGATGTGGGCAGTACTGAGGATTGAACTCAGAGCCTGAACTATATTCCCGGACTTTTTTTTTGGTACCGGGGATCGAATTTGGGTCCTTGCGCTTGTGCAGCAGGTGGCGAAACCAGTGAGCTAAATTCCCAGCACCTATTCCCAGGCTTTTAAAAAAATATTTTGAGACAGTCTCCTAAAGTCACTAAATTGCCTAGGATGGACTTGAATTTGCAATCCTAGCAATCCTCATGCTTCAGACTCCCAGAGTGCTGGGATTACAGGTGTGTGCTACCATACTCAGCTTATTTTTAACTTGTTATATGATAAAATACATCTATCTTTTTAAAATAATATCTAATTTATGTTATTAGTAAAGAAATTTTCCCTTATCCCTAGCTTGCACAAATATTTGCCTAGCTTTTCTTACAAGGTATTTTAGATAATCCATTAGGAGTTTATGTTGTATATAACGAAAAATAGAGGTCCAATTTTATTTTGTTCCACATGGGTACCTATTTGTATCAGTATCACTTACCGACTAATTCCTTTTTTCTCATGAATTTTAACTATCATATTTGTCATATTTTAAATTTTAAATCTGATACACTCATCTATTCCTAAACAAATTCCATTACTTTGTGGGGGTTTTTTTTGTGTTTTTTTTTTGGTACCGAGGATCGACCTCGGTCCTTGAGCTTGCGCAGCAGGCGGCGAAACCACTGAGCTAAATCCCTGGCCCTATTACTCTGATTATTTTAATGGATATCTTAAATATTTTTCTAAAACTTAGAGTAAAATCAACTAAGGTTCCATACAAATAGTAAAATATCTGGTTATTATACCTAATACAAAGTACAACTCTTTTTTTATTACATTAATTTTTAACAAGGTATTATAATAACAACCCTAGCAATTCACTCAACAAGCAATTCATTCAATTGTTAGATGCATTTATGGCTGTTAAAAGACAAATCTACAGAAAATGCTTTCTTATTTATAATAGCTTGTTCTATTTTTTTATTCATTCATTCATTCATTCATTCATTCATTTGTTTTTGAGATGAGCTCTTGCTATTCTAGCCAGGCTAGCCTAGAATTCTTGATCCTTCTGTCTCAGAGTTCTGAGTAGCTGAGATTTCAAGCACACACCACCACACTTGCTCGGAAAAAGTATGTAGAACACTTCTTCGAACTTTTAAATTACAAAGCTCACAAGTTTTCCAAATGATTGATGATACAGATATTAACAAACCTATTCTACTTGGAATAAATACAAATAGGTATACCTCTTTTCCAAAATACAATGAACTTCATTTACCTATTTTTAGTAAAAAAAAAAAAAAAAGATTCATACCTGAGCATTTGAATTACTGAGTGTCTCAGCTCCAATAAGCGATAATTTATTCTGACACTTGATTTAAAAGGAAAAGAAAAAGTCAGATACTATAAACCACAGATAATTCCTTTCCCACCCCCTTTTGTACCAGTCTAATGTAATACTCCTCAAAAATAACATACAAATATCTGATATGCGAGTTTGTTTAAAGCCTCATTTTAGGCAAGAGAATCAGGAAGGCAGCCAAACAGGTCCGAAAGTGAATATATCAAAAGGGAGAAACTAAAATGGTAGAAAAAGAATAAAACTAATAGGGTAAATTATAAACTATATAATAAGAAAAAAACGGGAGGTAAGAGAATAAAAAAGAACAGAAAAATAAAACAGGTAAGAAGTTAGTTAAGATTATAAGAAAATAAAGCCTTCAAGAGATATTGTTTTATGTCATAAAAAAATCAAAAGCTATTAACAATGATTATATCTGAGAGGTAAAAGAGTAACAAATTTTATTGGTACTTTTTTCTTGTTGTAATATTTTTCTATAGGAAAATTTTAGTAATTTTTCAACCCAATTTCTATACCAACAAACACAAGATTATAAAAATTATGTATTAAACATATTAAAAATGTAAAATACCAAGGATTTATGTTAAAAATGATTCAAAAAAGACTCCACTAATCTGTCTTGCTCTGAAACCTCTCTGGAAAGAAAAGGATACTAAAAATTTCTGTGGCCCATACCACACAGTATATTATTTTGGGTAGAAACAATTTTTACCAAAATACTGTTGTGTACCAAAAGTTGTTACAGCTCACGGAAACAGAAAATGTACACACATTTCAAACTCATTGTGTTTACACTCATAATTATGTATTTGTTCCGCTTCTATATATTTTAGGGAATAAACCCACCAACCACCCGAAAAAGCCTAAACCATGAACTTGAACTATTCGTTTTAATTATCTCTTTTTACATTAATGAACTTCTACATCCTTTTGGTCTTATTTCCTTAGTGTCTCTTCTAACTCATTCTTCTACTTGCCAGTATTTAGGCCTTCATTACTTCTAAACAGGACTACTGCTAGAATCTTCTAACGTTCTTTGTACCTTTAGTCTCACTATATTCCATTCTCTTCAAATCCACAAGAGTTAATTTTCCTATATATCTGATCAGGTCACTTCTGTGTTTATAATCCTTCAATAGCTTCCCACAGTACATATTCACTAAAATCCTTCATGGTTTTACTACAGTCTCATTCACAAGTCTCTGCTCCGAATTTATATTACCCATAATATTTTACTTAGAATTCTCTAAACTCTCCAAACTTTATAGATTTTGACCTTCCAGCTTTGTATACCTCCTCTATTTTTTTTTTTTTTTGGTGGTGGGGGGGGTGGACCCAGGGCACTCTATCACTGTGCTACATCCCCAGCCCTTTTTATTTTTATTTTGAGACAAGATCTCACTAAGTTGCTCAGACTGTCCTCGAAATTTCTTTTCTTTTCTTTTTTTGGGGGGTACTAGGGATCAAATTTAGGACCCTTACAAGGCAGGCGTGGTGCCACTGAGATAAATCCTGGCCCTTGAAATTTCAATTCCACTACTTCAGTCTCCCAAGTAGCTGGCATTACAAGCATGTAACACCACATCTGGCTAACTCTATTTACACAGCTAACTTCTTATTTATTATTTAGAAATGAAATAAATTATTATTTCTTTCTTTTCTTATAGAAAGCTATCTTTGACTTCATCAGCCTAGGTTAAGCATTCTTCCTCAGTGTAGTTTTTGTATAATACTTCTAATACCATAATACATATAATATGTATGCCTATTGCTTGCCTAAGATGATCTCTTTGAGAGTAGGAACTGCTATAATTTTTTCTTTCTACAGCTTATCTAGTATAAAGTTTCTTGAATGCACACCTGTATGTGCACACTTTTTATATCTAAAAAGTACATAAATATTCATTTTATAAAATAATAAATTTTGGCAACTAGCCTAATTATTTCTTCACCTAAGTCTAATTATTATTAAACTTGATTTAAATCTTATATTAATTAACTGATACATCACTTTTATGTCTTGGTACTTACCTCTTCCATGTCTTTCCACATTTCTTCACATGCTTTAATAAGTTCTTCTTCAATATCTGTAACAACTTCCATATCTGTAGTACTACCTGGATCTAATCCTTGCTGATTCATGTGCTTTGTGATTTTTCTCAGCCTTAAAAGAAAAACTAAAGTTAGAAAAAAATGTTTATTCACTCAACAAGCATTTGTTCCACACTTGTTACCTGCCAGATACTCATCTAGATGATAAAGGTGTAGCAGTGACCAAAATAGACAAAAATCTTTTTTACTGACAGGAAAGCACTAATATACTATTCTTTGAGGGAACAGTACAGCCATTATGCAAAATACTATGAATATTCCTAAGAAAAAACCCAGAAGTATCATATGATTCAGCAATTCCATCACTGGCTAGATGTCCAAAGGAAAGGAAATAAATACGTGGAAGAGATTATCTGCACTTTCATATTTACTGCAGCACAATTCACAATAGCCAAGATAAAGAATCAACCTAGGCATCCACTAGCAGATGAATGAATAAAGAACATGTGATATAATACAGTGAAATATTATGCAGACACAAAAAATAAAACCCTGTCATTTGCAGCAACATAGACAAGCCTAAAAAATTTAAATAAGGCAAAGAAAGACAAATACCATATATTCTCATATATATGTGGAAGCTAAAATAGTTGATGTCATAAAGTAGAGAACAGCATAGTGGCTACTGGGGGTTGGGAAGGTTAAGAAGGGAATGAGAAAGGATGCTCAATGGGAACATGGATGTAGTTGGATAGGGCAAATACTTTCTGACGTTCTATGGCACAGCAGGATAACTACAGTTGAACAGAAGCATTTATTTCAAAATACCTAATAGAGAAGATTTTGAACATTTCCAACACAAAGATATGAGAAACGTTCAAGGTGACAGATATGCCAATTCCCAGATGTGATATTTGTACATGGTCAATATGTATTGGAATGTCATACTGTATCCCATAAGTATGTACAATTATATGTCAATTAAAAATTTTAAAAAGAAAAAGAAAATCATCATTTAAATTAGTGGAGAAATAAAGCTATTATGAACTAAAAAAAAAATTCCTACATGGAGCTTATTCCAGTGAAAGAAAAGAGTAAGTGAAAAAGTTATTTAAGTATGTTATACTTACTATACATATGAAAGGATATATTTTTTAAAAGGATATAGCATATAGAAGCATTTGTAAGTGGCATAAATAAAAGAAAGGAATGGGCCAGGAATTTAGCTCAGTGGTTCCTCCGCCTGCCTCGAAAGCGCAAGATCCCCAGTTCGATCCCTGGTACCAAAAAAAGAAAAGAAAAGAAAGGGAAGAAACATAGGGAATACTAGGCTGGTGAGAGAGTGGCTTGGGATAAATGTACCTGAGGTTCATCCATTTTAATAGGAGGGTCAATCAGACCACAAATGCAGGTAAGTAATTATATGTGTTGGTAGGAGCTTGTGGAAATTGTTTAGATTATTTCTCCTTGGTCAATGAAATGATAACTAAGGTAATCAGCTATGAATGAGGATGGTAAGAAAGTAATGGATATTTAAGAGCAAAGGAAAATAAATGTATAAAACATTTATTGGAAGGGTCATATATAAGGATATTAAAATGACTTAAGCATTGACAGTGTATTGCAAAAGATATGAGTGATCCAGGAGCTAAAAATATACAAGGAATGAGGAAAAGTGACACAATCTTGCTGGATGACTGCTGCAATGAGTGGCAGGTGGTACAATATGGCATTATGAGTTTCAAAATGGGCAATTTTAAGGAAGCAGACCAAGCAATAAAGAACAAGGAAGACTTTAATCCCACAACATCCTATGCAAAACAGAATAAACACTTCCAAAAGTATTTTTATTTATATGGAACTTTTTATTTTTGGTACCGGGGATTGAACTCGGGTCCTTGAGCTTGCACAGCAGGCGGCGAAACCACTGAGCTAAATCCCCGGCCCAATTTACACGGAACTTTTAAGTTTAAATTGCTGAATCAGTAACATCAACAGAGAAGTTCTAAAATAAATCTAAATTGATGGAAATATAGATCATATTCATATATTGGAAAACTCAATACCGTAAAGATGTTAATTCTCCAAGATGATCTACTGAATCTTAATTGAAATTCTAAAAGTTTCTGTGGCACTTGACTAGCAAATTTCAGAACTTATATAGAAGTGCAAAGAGCCAAAAACAGCCAAAATCCTCATGAAAAATAAGGTGGAAAATTTACTCTATCAGGTATTAAATATAAATAACTATACTAATTATGACTACTATATAACTATACTAGTTAAGTGTGCAACTGGCATATGAATAGGAAAATTGAACAACAAAACACAATACAAAGGCTTTGTTGACTTTCTAGACTCATATGTATATCTACACCTAACATATAAAGAGCTGCATCAGTGTTAGCTATTAAAATCTGAATGTCAGAAGGCCGTAATAGCTTTATGAAAAATGTTTATGCTAAATCTTACCTGTTATATTTTCTATTTTTAATATCTTAACTCAGAAATTAAGAGCAAATTGATCTTTCCCTACTTTGTAGAATACTAATCACTAAAAAACATTATTAGCACACAAAAATAATGTTTGTATAGATATTCAAATTAGAGGACTTGGCAATTCAACATAGCATTACAATACAAATAAATAAGAACATTTACTCATGGGATTGCTATTTTCACATCAAGAAGATACAAGAAGTCATTTGTCTGCAACTTTGAAGACAGCCTTCACCAAAACCAGAAAATGCCAGTATGCTAATCTCACATTCAGCCTTCAGAACTTTGATAAATTTCTGTTGTGTATTTTAAAACACACTCACAGATACATTTTAAGGGCTTGACTTTATCTTTTTCCCACATTTTGTATCCCTAAGTCTGCTTTTCTAGAAAGGGAACAAGTCTGTTTTTTAAGGTCCCCAGTTAGGATTACAATACCTAATCATTTATTGAAAAAATCACTATATTTAGGGATAATACTATGCTATACCAACTTAAAGAAACTCAAACTATTAATTTGGAGAAAACTAATGTAAAAATAAATGTATAAAGTATTCAGTTGGAATTCTGAGATGCATTCATTTACTCAACAAAATGTTCTTAATGTGTGCCACTGGTTAGACATTATCATTATAGATGTGTAGGTGAAAAAAGTCTTTTCGTGTAGCATACATTCTCATGAAGGAGCGATAATATTAACAAATTAACAGCTAAATACAGGATATGATCTCAGGTTGTTAGAAGTGCTGTAAAATGGTAAATTATACAACACAGAATGCATGAGCTTTCAGAATTCAAGACGGTGTTTGAGAAACGTACCTGGAAGAATAGATTAGTATATAATAATGCTTTGAAAATGTTAACCAGCTCCCCACCGTTACTATTTCATGGTGAATGTTTGAGAAATGTACCTAGAAGAATAGATTAATATACAATAATGCTAACCAGCTCCCCTCCACTATCATTTACTATCTTCATCCTCGTTATTATGAGAAGCTTTTGGAAAGGTAAAAGCCAGGTGCTGTGGAGATGCTTTGAAGGCACAAAAACATAAGATGGGAGGCAAGAATGGGAAAGTCAAATTTGTGAGACATAAAAGGAAGTAGTCTGATTAGAGCAGAAGGCAATGAAGAAATGCGATTTGCTAGGTAAGATGGGTCAAATAATAGGAGCTTTTGACATTTCAAAAAACAACAAAACCGTTTTAAACGCCTACTATCGGAAGCTCCTGTAGAGAAGTCTACGCTTGGTATCTACTTCAAAGCAAAAGTAATTTATTGGCTTGGAATAGGCTAGGCTTTTGAAAGAAGCGTTAAAATTGCTTTAACTTTTAAAAACGGAGGTCCTATTTAACAGATCTGTAAAAAGGTTAAAATGGTAAATTTCATGCAATTTTTGTTATGGTAAAGAGCGATAGCTTCGATGTGGAAGGCGGAGGCAGACAGACACTGATGTCCCTAAGGCTGCCAACAGACGACAGCCTAGCCCAGGGTGAAGGGGTGAATGCTCCTGCCTCGAGCCACTGCAGGTTTCTGGAGATGGCTGGTTCTCCACCCGACACCCCCGGCGCCGCAAACAGTAACAAGTACTCGCCATTTTCCTCAGCGTGTGAGAAAACAAATGTAAGCGTCATGAGGGGGGCGCGGGTCGCAAGTTAAAGAATTTCTTCCAACCCCAAACCCACGTCTTTCTTCTGGAACTCGCGGGGTTCTGGAGCTGACGTCGCGCAGCAGGCAGAGAAAACTGGACTTAAGACCCTGCTGGACATCGGGTATCTAGTTCTTCAGAGATAAGGATCCCATCTTTGGGGCTGGAGCTCCAAATCCCTTAAACTGCCAGTCCCGGAGGCAAATTTAAATTAAGGCCTTTCCCCGGCCCAACTCTTACCGTCACGGAGACACAGGCTCCAAAGCCTACAGGTCGCCTCAGCGTCGCGTACTTTGATCCAAGTCCAGACTTTGTGCGCGCGCTGCTTGCTGATTGGATCTGCTCCTGCCCATTCTAGCCAATCCCGAAACTCGCTCGGCCTCTGACGACACGCTGCGCCGCTGCTTTGGAATTGGTAGCAGAGCTGTGCGTCGCATCTTTTCTGACGGTTCAGAGAACATGGCCGCGGAAAGTGGCAGCGAGTCCCGGACTAGGGGAAGGCGTCGCCGGGACGCAGAAGAACCCGAAAAAACGGAACTCAGCGAGAGAGACCCGGCTGTGGCAATGGCCCAAGAAAACGATGAGGAGAATGAAGAGCGCTGGGTTGGGCCTTTACCTGTGGAGGCAACACTGGCCAAGAAGAGGAGAGGTAGCTGCAGCGATAGAACAATGGCGAATTGGAATGCTGCGTCGAAGTGGGAGGTTTGAGTTCGTGCAGAACCGAAAGTGGGGTGGTGTGTGATTATGGGGTGTTGTGCTCAGAACAGGTTGTCATCTCATTTCTGGCAGCTTGAATGTCCACCTAGAATGGTGATGTCTATTGAAGTGTCTTTTTGCTAATAAATAACAATGTTGATCATTGATTCGTTGTAATTAATGCTAAAGCTAACATGCTTGGTGCCTTTCATTTAATCCCCATAGCAGCCACATGAGGTTGAAATTTCTTATTCCGTTTATCAAATGTGGGAAAGAGTACCGGTTCTCTCTAAATCTTTAGTTTAGAAGTGGTGTTATTGGGGCACAAGAGAAAGGCAGAGCCTATTTAAAATTATAAAGCAAAGGAATTTCAACCCCGAATGTTCTTGTAATGAATTTTCAGAAAGAATTTAGGGAAAGTTATTCAAGTTTCCTGGTCACAGTTTTTTCTTTTCCATCCAAAACCTAAGGTCTATGGTTTTCAAACCATACTCTTAAAATACCATGGACTGGAACATTTTGCCACTAATGTGAAATGATTAAAAAAAAAAAAAAAAGATGTGGAAAGGGATAGATAAATTTTTCTTGTTTTTCAAGTTTTCCTGTGAAGTAATTTCCTTAAACGTTTAAGACAATTAAAATGTATTTCTAAGCTCATGTTTTAATCACTCTTCTCTACATAAACCACATAAGCGATTTTTTTTAATTTTCATTTTTTATTTTTATTTTTTGGTACCGGGGATCGAACTCAGGACCTTGCACTTGCAAGGCAGGCGCAGCGCCACTGAGCTACCCCTTAGGTGATTTTTTTAAACAAACAAATCTTAACTTTCCTACATGGCGTGTAAGGCCTTCCTGATATGATCTGTCTTTACCTCCCCGGTATATCTCCCATTTCCTTTCCCAACCCTGTATTTTGCGCTTCACCCATACTTAAGTACGTGAGAACCGGCCATGTACTTTTTCTTCTCTGGGTGCTGGCCCCAAATATCACAGTATGTATGATACACCTGAAATAATTTCTCTCCCTTCAGTGGATTAAATTGTTTAACCTCTAGCACTTAGCTGTTACCTCCTCTGGGAAAATTTGACTGGGTTTAAGGGTCATTGGTCATAACTCTGAGATGTTTTTCACATTGTTTACAAGAAGCCTTTAAATTTTGAAGAAGCCACTTTTTTAAACATTGTATATTGAATTCCTTAAAATGCATTTTTTTTCTTACTGGCTGTTCCTTCTTTTAAATGTTTCCATAGCAATATTTTCCTTCTTGACACTTGCTACAGATTGCAACTGAATATTTACTCATGAGGCTACAAGGATTGTGCCTGTTTTGCTCCAGTGCTTGGTACCATGCTTTGCATATAGCAGGTGCTCCATAAATATATTATGTGAATGAATATTATAATACGTTGTTTTAAAATTATTTATAGTATTTGAATATATTTCACATCTTCTCTTTTAATGAAAGAAATGTGGGTAAATGAAAAAACCCACAAACTATTGAAATGCCGATATTAATTTTAGGAAATAAGTATCTTATAAACTTAGTATAACTGAGACAATGAAATTATTAGATATGAAAATCTTTACCATTAATAAGATGTTTACTTTTTAACCCAGCCAATAGTGTACCGTATTGTTTGAAGAAACAATCAAAACTAAAAAAACGTGTAAGAAATGTTAAAAAAAAAATCATTGAAATTTTCTCTAAAAGGACAGGTGTTTAATAACATTAGCTTTCTAGAAATGGATCCATCCCCTTTGATGTATTCTTTGGAAATTAAGACTTTTGTATATACATTTTAACATTAATACCTACAGGTATACTTTTGTGTATAAAAGCCTCAAGGTATACAATCCAGGATTAATATGCAGAGATCACAGTTTCCTAGGCTCTTTCTTGCTTTCTACTCCTAGAGCATAGTCTTCATCTTCATTGTCCTGACTTATTAATAGAATTGTAGCAGTCATATTCCAATTCCAAGATACAGAATTGAAGAAGGGAAAGGGGGCATACTTTTCAAGGAAACTTTCTATCACAAAACACACTATACCTATATTATATTATTATATTTGTCACTAAAGGGGAAAGTGAGACAGGACATCTTTAACTGGATGTCAACAAGCCCACATAAAAGTGGAGAATCTTGTTACTAATGTAAAAGTAGTTTACTAAATATAACAAGTTCAAATGTGCTATACTACAGTCAAGAAAAACAATAACTCATGTTTAATTTAGCAACTTTATATAGGCATGTTTGGCTATTATTGGATTATTTGGTACATATATGAGCTCATATATTAAATCACAATTTCCTGAAATTACTGTTTACCACTCTTACAAGTGTTTTGTTCCTGGAAAAAAATCTGAGAATCAAATGAATATTCTCTAGGATTTTCTCAGCTCTAAAAAATCTAAGCATTTTATTGTCTTTATGTGTTCCAAATCGGCATCAATGATTTAAAAGAGGATCAGTGCCTTAAAAATGAACTGACACATCTTGGCCACAGACTTTTTTATAAATTAGTGCTAGTAACTGGGATTTACATGGTTAGGAAAGTGGTTGTTATAGTTCTAAGAAGCATTTTACAGTGTTCCTTTTTTTTTTTTTAATGGAACCTTCATAGTAAACCAGACCCATTCAGTTGATTGGCACAGTTGGGACAGTTAAACCTCTGTATAATCCCTGGGAACCTGTCATAACTGACTAAAAAAATGGTGCCATTCGGGATTGTGAAATAAAGTTAAAACTGACATTATAGACACTGAATTTTTTTCCCTTACATATGAATTTGGGGAAATTAAAATCTAGAAGAAAATACAAAAAATTTAGAAAATTGTAAAGAAAATACAAAATAATATTCAGTTCATTCATTAAAAATATTTTTTTACTTTTCCCCCTCAGTTCTAGAGTTTGAAAGAGTGTATCTTGATAATCTCCCCAGTGCATCCATGTATGAGCGCAGTTACATGCACAGAGATGTTATCACCCATGTGGTATGTACCAAGTAAGTCTTATCACGTCTTTATTTTTTTCTCGGGAATTTATTTTTTTTACAGCGTCAGTTTTGAGGTAGATTTATACAAGTGATTTTAGCGTTATATAGCTTTGTTTTAATTGCATAAGTTTTAATAGTTTGTTAAAGCCCCACATGTTCTTTCCTATGTCATTTTAAGAAATGTGTTCACTAAGACAGAAACCCAGAGTATGTATACACATTTTTTCTTAGAAAGTGTAGATTAGAGGGATGAAGCAGGTACTGTATGAGCTTCCCTGACGAGAGAGCATTTTACTAAAGACAGGCATAATTAATAGCTGGACTCTTTGGCATTAAGAAAATATTAGGAAGGAAGACATCCTAAAACTATCCAAGGACCTTCAAAATGGATGGACGGGGAATTTGGAGGAATAGTGATATTCTACTGTAAATCTGTCTCATAGTATATCTAGGTACTGCTCTAAGGCTTTTGCATAAACTGTCTCAAAGAACGGTCTTATGGGGCAGTATATAATCTTCATTTTTATTGATGAGGAAACAGATTTAGAGAGGTAATGGCAGAGGAGGCTGAAAAAAAATTAAAGGCTGAATCTCAGAGGAATTCCCATACAGGGAATTTGTATGTATCTTGAACCTGTGAGCAGGATTTTTTTTTTTTTTTAAAGAATCACTCTGGCTGTGAATTGGAAGAGGGCAAGAATAGGTTTAGGGAGAATAAATAGCAAGGAGTCTAGTATAAACATCTGGATGAGATACTGCGTGGCTTAGATGATAGCAGTGAGTATGGAAAGTAGAAACTTTGTGTTTTGCATCACACTTTATCACTTATGGATTACTTTTTAATTAATCTCTTAAAACAAGTTGCAGTTTAGATATGACTGTACATGTACTCATATTTCATGTATAAAACAATTCAAACTAAATATAAGCACTTATATTAATCCCAACTTGTCAGTGTATAAAATAGCTAATGGATACTAGTACTGTTACCACTCTTTCAGGTCTGTTTTATTTTTAAACCCAAGGCTGTGGAGTGTAACAAAAAGATTATAGGTTTAATGGTTAGATAAATATGAAAGCCACTCACTAGCTATGAACCTAGAACAAGCAAATATAATATTTTAAATTATTTTATGATTTGTAAAATACTGATAAAAATACCCATCTAATAGAGTTGTTATAAAGGTTCATTGAGGTGATATGTACAAACTACTTGTCATATACTTGGTTTCAGTAAATAGTTTCTATTTTTCTTATAGGCAAAACTGTTCTGCTTAAAATCTTTTTGACTTTTAAATAACCAAAATATCTTGGATAGAATAGGAAACAAATTTGTTGACTTTTGCTGTATATGAAAGTAGTTTATCAGCTTCTGAAGAATAGTACATTTTCTAATGGAAAGATTACTTACAGGACAATTTTAGCAATAAGAAATCCTAGTCTAGTGATTCCTAGAGAGATTTATTTATTTTATTGTTTATGTGTGTAGAGCTGGGGATTGGACCCAGGGCTTTCACACTGAGCTAAAATCTCTAGCCCTTTTTATTCTTTTTCAGACAAGAGTCTCACTAAGTTACCCAGGCTGGGCTCCATCTTGCAGTACCCTGCCTCAAGCTCTCAGAGTGCTGGAATTACATGCATG